ATCGTATTGTGGACAAAGAGAGGTGTGTGAGGAAGAACCATGCAGGGGCCAAGCTTTAAATGAGTTGCTATCCAGCTGAGCTCCGATAAAGGCGGGTCTAGTCTGAATCATTGATGAAACATTTTGAACTTGGCCTTTCGGTGGATTTCGTTGCTTTCCAAATGGTTTGGACTGACGTTTAAACACTGATTTAAAACAGCCTAACTTACGTGGCTGCCGAAAGGGCGTCAACCGAAAACCGTGGGCTGATGCCATGCAATACTATACCATAAAATCCATATCGCATTTTACAATCCGTTATCATAATTATGTTGTTATCGATCCAAAGTCATAATTATCAATGTGGTATATCATTATTATTACTTTCGTTACTTTTACTTTTCATACTTTATAATTATACCATAAAATGCTATACCATAATATCATACTATACCATACCTGTTCTACACTGTACCATACTGTGCGAGGGCTTACAATAGCAAACCATAATTCACAGCATCTGTTACGCACCTAAAGCATAAAGTGCTCATTGCTGCTGCTGTTATTGATGCTGCTAGGTTGGGTATTTTTCTAAAGTACATTTTTTTTTCATCTTTGAATGGCGAAATAATATTCTGTATTGGTATTTTATAAGATAGAAACTAGATAGATAGAGATAAAGCTTGGTGGATGAGTGGAAGGGTGGATTGATAGATGAATGGATGGATGAATGAAAAGATGCATGGTTGGTCAGATGGATAGATAGATAGTTTGGTGGGTGGATGGACAAATAGAAAGATAGTTTTATATTTTGGAGGATTAATAGTGGATGAATGATAGATAGATAGATAGATAGATAGATAGATAGATAGATAGATAGATAGATAGATAGATAGATAGATAGATAGATAGATAGATAGATAGAAGCCAAATAACGTTTTATGTTAGAATGTCAAATTCGGGGCAGGACTAAATGTTTGTCATGTGCTTGACATTCTGACAAGAGAGATACACAAACGTTGTCGATGCGTTTGGCCTGGACTTTCTTTCGTTTTACCGGGATAGCATTGTCCTTTAAAGATTGGATACGTGACAAAATCGATGTCCCAGATTCGCGAGTTGTTTACCGTGCTTTGCTATGCAGGCAGTACACAAACTGGGTACTCGTTCATGGATTAGAGTAGAAGAAAATAAAATAAGAAAAGATACCTTTATTGATTACCCTGTGAACACAATCGAAGGACATCCATTTACTCATAAAAATTGCATTGAAATTGCGCCGTACCTGGTCCAGTGGAGGCAGGATCGAGAAAAAATATTTATTTCCAAAAATTTGACTCTGTTAGGAAGAGTCATCGAAGTGGAAGCTTTTGGTCAATCGTTACGAACACTTGGTGGCAATTGTGATAATAAATGAACTGTTACGGTTACACCGACACAAGCAAGATCATTTAGCAGGCGGACTGCTTCGACTCATCTTGTCAGGAGTGGAGCATCTAACAGCATCCCAAAAATCTGACGGATAGTATTTTATGGTATAATTATAAATTATGAAAAGTAAAAGTAACGAAAGTAATATAAAGTATCACATTGAAAATTATGACTCTGGATATATAGCAACTTAATTATGATAACGGATTGTAAAAATGCGATTAATAAATTAATACAATTTCCCCCGCCTTGGAATCGAATTCACGTCTTCTGTGTGCTTTGGCAAAGAGCCGAACTTTTACCAAACAGAAGACAGTGTGACCTTTTGAGCAGAGGGTGCGTTGTTTTAAAAACAGTTTGATACATGTTAATCGTTTTGTCAGTATTTGCTTTTCTCAGAATTTGTGTGCACCCGTGCACCGACAAAACAGGATCTGTTTAAACGGTTAATAACGTTATCTCGTAGTTATAACCAAAATGTTATTCATAAAGGTCAAGACTCGTTTACATGTACAGTTACTGAATCGTAAAAGTAAAATAAAGGTGGTCATAGTATGTAAGGTTTTTGAACCGGGGAGGTGGTACGTAGGAGAGAGAGAAGAGGAAAAAAAATAACAACTCAATACATGACTGTTTGCCTAACATATAATCAAAATGTATGAAAAGACAATGCGGTGGCCGACTGGTTAGGCCCTCAGACTCGCAACCATAAGGTCGTTGGTTCGAATCCCGTCAGGGGCCCGACGTTGTGTCCAAGGGAAATGCACTTTTACACGAATTTTCCTCACTTCACCCAGGCGGGAATGGGTACCTAGCTTCAGAAAGTGAAAGATCTTGTCAGTTTGTTTAGTGTTTTAGCTCTTAAAAAGCTGCTTGCTCTGTATACTTCCCGGGAAGCTGAGAATGTTCCATGGTGTGCTGGGGTAATAATATAGGCCTAGTGTAAACGGCATAGAGCTTGCTGTCGAGCGAGGATGTGCGCTGTACAAATGCTATTCATTATTATTATTATTATTATTACTACTACTACTACTACTACTACTACTACTACTACTACTACTACTACTACTACTACTACTACTACTACTTT